ACTGAGACCTCAAACTTAAACAAAAATAACTCGACTTGAGAGCAAGCTTAATTGATCCCATCGCCTGGTTTAGATCTTAAGTAAAATACGGATCATATGGCATTCTTAGTAATTTTAGGCCTAGGGAATGTAACACAATGATTTGCAATCAATTACAAAACAACCACGAAATGGCCAATCTACAGTTTCGTTGCATGTACATAGTTATTGCTCAAAAGGCTGAAAACTAACAAATCAGAATCGTTGTTTTAAACTTGCAAATTGATCGAAAACCTTTGTGCTACAAGACCTGGTTTTGGTACATAACAGATTTAATGAACAGAATCATGATGACGAAGTTTCTAAATTGTTGGATATAGCATTTGGGTAGAATATACCTTAAATATAATTATTCTTGCAGTTCATGTATCCCTTCGTTTAATCAAGTGCTGTTTTTCTACTAAAAGAATCTTTGTCAATTTGACGAACTTAACAGCAGTTAGCACAGTTTGCCTTTGTATTATCATGAATATATAATAGATAAAATTGGTGAGATTGCACGTTTGAGTTTTTCCGTTTTTCACATGCATGATTGATTGATTGATTTTATTCGTCAAGCATGGCTTTAGCCTGGTTCATTTAATAACTAAAATAATAAGTTAGACCTTCAAAAGGAGAAGAGTTAATGGAAAATATATCCTGCCTTTTTGTTCTCTTATATATTCTGCATTACTTCATCATTAAGTTATGCATAACGTTATGCTAAGCAATCCTGTTATCATACGGATAAGACCTTAAGAAATTCCAATATTTATACAATTTTTTTGAACATTCATCGAATTGCTGTCCAACATGAAATTAATGCAAACAGAAGGAAATATCTCTTCTTTCACAATATCTTTACGATTAACCAACTAGGTGGTTTTTTTTTCTTCACTCTCTCTCATCAAGATCCTTCGTGTTCTACATATCTTTTGCCGAATCAAAAGTTCTACTATCTTTTGCTTTGTGACCTTATACTAATCATCAAAGTTAACAACTTTTGTACGCACTGTGCTGTAATGTTAATGTAATTATCAATGCATAATATTTTCGTTGCACTTAAGCATTATTCTCAGGATTTGAATGACGTCCATTTTTTTTTATAGATATGCAACAGAATACCACAATGGCTACCGTGAATCTCAATGTGATCCTTGATGATAAACAGTTCACTGAAGAGCTGAGAGACAACAAGTCTATGGCGTATATGGAAGCTGTGGTCGAAATCACAAGCGCCGTAAGTGATTTGTCTCCTTTGTTCTTTTTTCAGGTAGTCTCCTTTTGAACATAATAGCGAAATTTCTTCAGATATAGTACATTAAAGCCTCGGTCCCAAATGCCATTACGAACTGCTTTGAACGCCGTACGGTCGATTTTCAGACAATGGAAAATCGGGAAGACAATGGAAAAGCAGGGAGATTCGTACGAAATTGTTGTTTGTATGAACCTTTGTGACCGTAGCTTCACCTCACAAAAAACACCTACCTGTACCCGTCCAATTGCGCCCCCACGGCTTATATAGTGATTATTATGTCAAATTCCTTCTCCAATTCATTTAAGGAAGTATTTACTTAGAAAAGTTTTATGCGTTTTAAAGAAGGAATATGCAAAACCTATTCCATAAATAATTAATTTTATGGAAATGATCATATAGGGGAGCGCCATCATTTACAACATGTGGAAACAGAATTTAAGTATAGGTTTTCCCGGCCAATTTCGTCAAAGCAGCGATTAATTTCACTAACGTGCATTCATGTTCGAGCAAATTTTCTCCACTCGTTGCTTCCCTGTTTCATTTTTAAACTTTTTGCATTCAATTTCGTTTCGAGTCACCGAATTTTCGAATCAAGCACATTTAAATTAACGTTTGGTTCAGTCGATTTGGAAATGCGTTAACGTCATTCAATTTCGCCAAAGTTGAGTGGGAGGACAATTCTTTGTCGAATTGCGGTTTCATTTTCGTCTATGGGCAACCTCTTTCGCAATCGGGTCATTCAAATTAAAACTAGACCTCATAATTATTGTATGAGGCTCGATGTTTATTCGGATATTCACATTTTCATGTTCATTTGTTTATTCTTTTTCTCTATGATCTTTTCTGACATGATTTCACATTATACAATCTTCTTATTTGTCTGATATATTTATATTGCATTCAATATTTTCTCTTTCTGTCGATCTTTATTTTTAATGAAACATTTCTTTATACAGTCATGTCTTCATATCTTTCATTATAAATGAAGTTATTTTTTAAATGTTTTTTTTTATCAATCTGGATTGAGTGGGTAATCTTTTTTTCTTTTCATTTCACATATTTTTCTTTATTCATCATTGTATTTTGTTTCCATCATGGCCATGTCTAAAGCTCAACTCTACCGCTGTCCAGGATCTGTGTATAATTATATAGCTTTTTCTTACAAGAAGAAGAGAAGTCACAAATTGTGCGCCTTCTCTGAGGACAGTTACCTGTGTAATGACAGATATCTGCTAACGAATACGCATAATCATTCCTACAAGTAAACTTAGCATTAAATTATTCAAACAGAAGTATATTAAGTGACAAATTAACATCAAATGAAAAGCAATGCACAAATGTCACATATGGATGCCTAATCACTAAATTGAATGCTCGAATACATACCACCGTCTGTCCGGCGCGAATTTGAATGCTCTTTGCACGCTTTTCTAAATTGAATGCTCGTTTTGCACTTCTCCGTGACAAGAGTATGAAATCGCATGCTACTAAATCAAATTGAACGACGCAATTAGCTTTTTGAATGTTGATCTACATAGTCATTCAATTTCGCACGAACTTGAATGAACGTAACGTTAATTCGGATGCTAAGTTTACGAAGTTGGGCGGGAAAACCTATACTATGCTTTTATAATGCTTGTATATATATTATCTCGTCTTACACATATCGTGTCTGTCTTGGTTATACCCATTCTCATTTACTTGATGCAAGTGTTCAACCTTGTCTCATGTCCTATTTTTTCTTTATGTTATCGTTGTCTGTCACATGTAAAGGAATCAATTTCATTTAGGTATATACGCATTGTGTGTGTGCGCGTATGTGTCTGCGTGTGCGTGTGAGTGTTACATACATATACATAAGTTACCAACTGCATTTGTCATACTCCAAGTAATTCGATGTGTATGTGTTTTTGTAACTTAAGAATGAAAGGTGGACTAATTGAATTATGGCCTTTGGTGAATAATCTTAGATGTACGCTTTGATTTGTCACATTCTCAAAAACATAAATCAGGATAAATCAATTTTCACATATGAATGATTAAAAATCTTGGTAAGGGTGTGAATAATTTAGCTGTTAAATGTCCACCCATATCCTATACATGTCAATCGACACTGGTGGCAAATGAAAGGTACATTAATTCATGGGAGAAGATATCGGGATTACCTAAGTTGTATTTTATATTTCTAGAACCGCATACATAATGTTCACCTGGCGCCAATGTTATTTATTTATTTTTTTGGATGGAGTTATGTTCTTGTCATTAATTCATAAATACTTTTGCATTAAATTGAATCCAAAACTACTCATAAATATTTCACCCTAATGCTACATCTCAAAAGAAATATCTAAAACCCGTAAATAATACTACATTATTTGATATTCTCCTTAAACAGATTGATGCCCAGTACGCAAATGATCCTACCTATGCCGGTGCTCAGATCCTCGAGATTCGGTAAGGTGATGGGAACGAATTAACAGACGGCACCCTCTTACCTACCACACACATGTTATTTATATACCACATTGTATTTCTCACGGAATACTTCAGCCAAAGGAATCTGATTTATTTCATAATGTTCAGGAAAAAGATGATATATACAGACATGTGCAGTAGTGTCCAGAGTCCTTTGTTGCGCGCGATTGCCATTCAGTTACACCAAATAAAAAAAGAAATCGCTCTTTACTGCGCAATATCTGAACAAGCCTTTATAGGATGCAAATCTTTTGTATAGCACGATGCAATCCTATTGTTACTTGGGGCCTATTTTTTGTGCTGATCGACAGACTAGGCAAGCCTAAAGTGGTCGTGCCAATCGGTATTGGTGGCTAATGAAAGGCTAATATGATTTCATCATTCATCCGTTGCAATGCAAATTGCTCATTGTGAGCTCTCGTACCCTTTGCCTTTGTTAAAGATAGATATTTTGTCGCTATCATTACTAATAGTGACAGCCATATTTGTCCATCGTTGAGCAGTTTATTTTATTAAGAAACCTCATGATATGGCATACGTTCGTTGATGCTGAGACGAGCAAGCTCCGACAGTCATCAAAAATATGAAGACGTTTTGTAGAACTGTTGTGTAATTCAAAATCTATTCAAATTTATACACGTCTACCTAGCGACGAGCTATTACATTCACTTGTTGTATAATATTATTGCAATAAGAGTTAGAATACAAAGATATATAACAGAGCATTTGACCTAATTGTACACATTGGAAGGGGAGATGTTACTAGCAAGCAAAACATTTCTGCACATTTCCCCACATAAAAAAACGAAAAGTATCAAATATGCATTCTGACTACTGAAATGCAAGAATGTATAAAAGTTGAATGTATATAGCTCATCGTGTGTACACAATTTAAATACATTACTCCGCGAAATAATCTGTGTGTCATGTCGAGAGATGGCCAGAGTATTGCAAATGTAGATATAAATTACAATTGTCATTTGTGCAACACCATATCTATTGCAAACAGGTACGGAAAACATGTTACTCTGCACTGCCATGGTCACTCTCGATCAAAATAGAGCAAATTGCATAATGTATAATAATATCTCATTCATAACTTTTACACAATATATAGGGCAGAGTTAGCTAAAAGAATAGTTTTAGTCGTTGAGGGACATAAAGATCAATGTCTAATCAAGGTTTTGACAACATTTCTTCTTTTTTCCCTCTTTTTTATTCTATCCTTTTAAAGGGAAGGCAGCTGGCACGTTGACTTCATAATTATTTACATTGTCTTTTCTGGAGAACCTGAACAACTGCTGGATATATTCGACGATGTTCTGAACAGTGTTCTAGAAGCCTTGAGTACGATTTCAAACGATGTTGGACCGGTAACAATGACTTCAGGTTAGACTTTTACAATGTTTGTCAAATTACAATACAAATTCTATTTTTTTCTTCCAAGAATATGATTGAACTAAACTAAGTCATAGTAAAGCAATATGTTTTCCATTTACATCTTCACAACATTTGTATTCATGATTTTAAAAATATATCATTACACAAAAAAAATTAATTTCTCATAATCACTCTTTTATCATATTAAAAAATATATATCGAAATGTTCATGATTTTAACAGTATTACTCCGTATTAAAGGTAAAGACCAGTATTGGAAACGCCCCAATTTCAAGAAATGAAATGGAAGCTCTCATTACCAATCATGTGAAAGAATATGTTTTGACTAATACATGATGATAAAAAAATTGCCGGGAAACCGCCTACTAATTCATATATTTGGTAAATTTGTTTCTCTCATGGTCTGTGAGAGATATAGGGTAGTCCCATAAACATCTTTCTGTGTATAGTGCTTGTAACTTTACAAAGAAAGGGCCAAATTTCTTATCATTTTGATGATTCCAGAACCTTGCAGATGCTAGATGCTAGATGATCAACCTTTTCTGATCGATTCCACAACGTTTCTTTCACAATGCAATCGCATGACCATAACTGGTCTTTACCTTTAATGTCTATATGCAAAACAAAAATATCATTACAAACTTAACTTTTTCATGTTGCGGGGAAATCATATTCTTGGTCAAAAAGAGAATTCGTATTATCAATGTAGGAAAAATAATTGGTGGGTTGAAAGGGAATGATGCCATCACGTTGGCAATTTGTCTTGTAATGTTCACAGTTTTCCATAGCTTATCATGTCATTACATAGTTCATAACTTTCTACTTTTTTTTAAACGACCAAATCTTGAGAAAATATTTTGCGCCGACTCAACCGGCCGGTGAATAAGCGGGGGGGGGGGGGGGGGGGAGGGGTGGGTGGGTAAGAGCACATTTTTTTTTTGTCCAGTTTTTGAGGATAAATTTTGCCCCGACTCAGTAAAAAAAAGAGTATAATTTACATTTTTATCCTATTTTTTTACCGTTTGAGTAGGGGGGGGGCGGGCTGGTAGAATCGGCCCGTGGATCCGCCGCCTGGAAACTTGGGATAGAGAACAGAGAGCAAGGCTACATCACAGTGATATTCAAATTTCAACAAAAAATACAACATGCAAACATGACAACAAAATCCCAAGAGGTACAAGATCGAAAGAAAATAGCCACTTCGATTCACACTTTTTTAAATTCCGAAACAGAAAAATTTATGTTTTATACAGTTAAGTATGAAGAGCCTGGATAACAGGGATTTCTAAAAAAAAAAAAAAAAAAAAATTCTTTTTGGGTGTGGGGCTTCTCTGGATAAACAAACTTATTATTAGTCCTATATATCTCGGTTTGTTTGACTCTCGGCTCAGTCTCGTTCTCCCTCTTTCTACTGATCCAACCTCCTTCTTCTAGAGCTTTTGCAATCATTCATTTTCCCTTTTTGTAATATCTTTCTTTTTGCTTTCTACTATTTTTTCCTCTCTTTAATTTTTTCCCCATAAAATCTATAATTTCTTAGCTACATATTTTGTCTACTTATTGATTTTCTAAGCATACTTTGTTCACGTTATATTGTAAAACAGCATCTGAGGAACTAACACTTCAACAAGCTCTGCTTCCAGATAGTTCCACTTTTCTCGGGCTTTTTCTTTTATATTTTTCGTTTCATTGCATATTTTTGTAATATAATTATTCATTGTATTATGTTTTGCATGCGAAATAAAATCATTTGAATCATTTGAATCATATCATTATATTAATATTATCATTATTGTTATTTTTTAAATTATTATTTTTGCCATTAATATTATTATTATCCTAATCATCATCATCATCATCATCATCATCATCATCATTATATTTGAATCACACAGGCTTCTGTGAGAACGAGCCATGTCAGAACGGAGCTATGTGCATCGATGCCGAAGACTTTTCAGACTTCACGTGCTCCTGTACCGCCGGATTCACGGGCAGATCATGTTTAAGAAGTAAGTGATGCCTGGCAAATATGGCAAGAGATTAACTCTTTACTCATTTAATCATATTACGTGGAGGTTAAGGTGTCGTGGTATAGAAGTTCATTCACTTCACTCTCAATCCAATGATTGAAGGTTCGAATCCCGGTCAGGCACTAACGTCGTTTGGCAAGACATTATATATATATATATATATATATATATATATATATATATATACATACAGTACTGTTTATGATTTGGGATAAAGCATTATCCATGCTTCTGGAGCTTGAAGTGCTACCAGAGGGTGTCAGTATAAGCTTGTTTAAGGTGCCCTATAACCGTTTTGTGCCATAACGCGAATTTAAACCAATGAGATAACCAAATGAACAAACTATGAACGAAATAACATAGCATGTTGAGCATTTGGCATGAAATACAATTCCGCACAATGTAGGCCTTATTTTGGCTTTTAAAAAAGGAAGGGATTTTTGTTTACCCGGTTCGACTTAGATCAGATATCTATTTTTTTTTTTTATGCCATTAATTCCTAGTACCCAAGGGAAATATCATCTTCTTTTGCAATTATTTAATTTAAGTATATAATTTTGCTGTTTTATAATTTTCTCAAATGTAATTATAAAAAAAAGGTGTAAATTTGATATTGTATAACGGGACCCTGCTTACAAGCAACTTGCTTACTAAGGGAATCCCTCTATTTGTATTTTCATATTATTATGTTAATACAATGTGTTAATATTATGTTATACATGTACTTTTTTAAAGATGGACAAATTCATTGAATTTAATTGAATTTAATTGAATACAAATTTTTTTTCACAATATTTTTGCAGATATTTATGAGTGTGGAGGAATGGGGTCTCAGTTCAATTACCTAAATTGAACCTTCAACAACTTTTCTTTTAATAGCCTATTCTCTTTCTGAAATTCGTCACTGCCTAATTTTCATAGGAGTCGTTATCCATTTTGTTTGCCCCTATTTTTGCAGATATTGATGAATGCGAAGGAGTGACGTGTGCTAACGATGGCACATGCCTGGACGGGATTAATGATTTCACTTGCGTCTGTCCACCTGGATGGGGAGGAGATCTGTGTGATACAGGTATGTAAACCCACACGATCCTGTGTCCGGACAGGTTGGTTTAATATCTCATTAGATCATTCCAGAAAGTAAATATAATTCTTCTGGATACAAGATTTAAGAAATCTGTATGCTGACTAACTTATACATGAAAATAAATATTCACATCAATTAGTGCCATCCTCTTTGCAAAATCTAACAGCTTTAAGTTAGTTCGGATTCATCCCCCTCCTATATTACCGCCTATGTCCGGATAGGTTGGTTATCCGGACGGTAATTGACGTCAGGCAGTTATTCTGAGAAGTTTACATGCAATATTTCATAAATCTCTTAAAACTTATGTAGGACAATATTATGAAGGAAAATTACTCATGATGGCTCGAGCTATCTGATCCGTATATAACGATAAATTTTAAAAGAGAAAGTAACAGCATTAGTTTGTTTTGCGTCCGGACAACCCCCTACCCCACCATTACACTAAACGTGCATGTGAACTCACTTTTAAGTCAAGTCATTCATATAACATGAATACATATGTTGAATCTGTATATTAGTGGACGTGTTTAATAACATGATGTCTTTTACTGTATAAGCATATTAGCGATTTCGTAAGAGCTCAAACTACAAATGAGATTGAGTTTTTTAAGATAAACTTGAGTTCTGGTCATGCAAGAAGATTATAAGGGAAACTGTCTTGATATCATTTGGAAAAAGTGGATTTGGGTTCATCAAATTGATAAGAAAATTGACTCCATTTCACTAAAATCACATGGACTACACTTGGAAATCGGTGTATGTAACTACATACACATTTAGAATGACTGTTTGGTCCAAGCGCATCAGCTATGTATTGTCATAGAGTATTGAAGAGCATTTCAAATAGCACATTCGAAGAGCGGTCTTTTTGAGGGCACATTTCTATTGTGATTTGTTTCAAAACTGACATTTAAAGAATGAGGAATCCCAAAAATGATTTTTCACCTTTCCCAGAACTCAACCTTTAATTTATCTGACAAATTATTCAGATACAAACATACATTCACATGTTACATAGGCACACAAAAGAAGTTGCTGAGAAATGAATGAATATGATATACGACTACAATTAACTGCAATTTACTGTTTTACATCTTATTTCAGGTCACATGAAGCAAAAATAAGCAATGTCAATTTTGTTCGTATTTTCCTGCTAACATAACATTAAAAAAATATATATATATTATTTTTATGCCAAATTGCAAAAATGTTACCTTAACACTGTATATCAAACCGAATTGAAATATATTCTTACTAGATATCAAATGTTTACAAAAAAAATGTCAGATAATTATTTTCAAACCCACTATTTCATAGCAATATTTTGGGAATAAATATACCACAGAGAGAATACCTTTGCATATGATATAGCTTAAACATTTATATATTTTGCTGATGTTGACGGCAACCTAAATTGTAGACTTGTAAGCAAAGATCCTAATTTGATATAGTAAATTCTTCGCAGATTTCGAGAAAAAAATGAACAGTTTTTAAAGCCAGAAATCAAAGAGAAAGTAATTTTCTAATTACTTTTGGTAGATACGGACGAATGCCTGAACGACCCCTGTGGTAACCAAGGAACATGTGCCAATAATGAGGGCTCCTTCTCATGCAACTGTGCGCCGGGTTACGAAGGTTTTTTGTGCGACATCGGTGAGTGTTTCTTTCTACTAATGATCTAGAGAGTTGGGTGATATTGTTATGTATTTATATCACCTCGGGCATGTAGACAAATTTACCTAATTTTCTGAACATTGAATGTGTAAGCAAAAAAAAAAAAATCTGTAAGGATTTTGTAAGCCATAGCATTTTTGTGTTACATTTTAGTGACGAATTTTTTTGCTTTTTGTTTTGTTTATAAATCCAGATTGATCTAGACTACACATTGTACTACAAAATAAAAATGCAAGTCGATTAATTTGAATCCACTAATGTATGTATGATCAAGTTTCAATCACCTTATTCTACAAAATTAACCATATCAATTTGTATAATGACTGCATTGCGTTTGAGGCCAGGAATTTTGAAAATGAAAATAAGCTTTGAAATAATTAATTCAGAGTTTTTTGTGTTTTCTTTTATTTGCCTCATCAGAGGATTTATTAGGTATAGATCGTTTACATTCAAAGATACAGTGATACAAACCAAAATTACATATTCACAAATACATACATACTCATAATTTAATCAGAGTTACTGTTACAGTGGTTTATACAAAATAAAGAGTCTGGCAGAGACGGGTTTAACGTACATCTAGTCAACCTTAAGTTTTTGAATACGAGTCAATCTTTCCTTCAAAAAGTGATAAAGTTTTCTCTTAATAAACAGATGTGGACGAATGTGCAACTAATCCTTGTGAAAATGAGGGAACCTGTCAGAACGGGGAAGGCTCATATACATGCCAGTGTATTAGAGGAAGGGAAGGCCAGAATTGTGAAATTGGTAATACTTTCTAATTTTTTTCAGTGACGTATATTACAAAAGTTAGGCTGACTGATCATGGTTTATAAAAAACACAATTACAATGTATATAGTGCACTTGAATCTATTTGGATTTTTACTCTTACTTGTGTACATTTTATCTTGGCAATCGTAAGGTACGTATTACAGAGATTACCTAATTCCTTTTGCAATATATTATTTATTTCTTTTCCTGTAACTTCATTCTGACTTGAAACAACTTTTTTTTTCTTGCATCATTTCCTTTTTATCCGCACTCTTCGTTGCGATGAAGAACACACAGCTAAGTAGAAAATGAAATAAATTCCAGAGGTGATGATACCATAACAGAAAGATGGTAAAGTATGAAAATATACATGTATAAAATTATACAAAGGAAGAGGGAAAGAAAGAGAGAGAGGGAACATTGTGGTAATGGGAAACGTCTTCCCTGCACGTATCCATTGTTTTCATTGTCTTAGTTGCGCGTGTCTGACGCGAAGGCAATCTGAAAGTAATCAAGTAATCGAGAAAATCGGACTCCAAAGGAACAAGGCATGAGATCACAATTATACACTTACCCAGAAGCGTAGGCAGGGGTGGGGGGGGGGGGGGTGTCGAACCCCCTCAATTTGTTTTATGTGTGTGTTTTGGAAGAAACTCCCCTCAAACTTTGTTTGTAAACAAAAAAGTAACCTTACCCCCCCTAACTGAACGAAATATCTATATATATTTTTTTTCAATAGATATCAATGAATGTGAAACAACTCCTTGCCAGAATTCAGGTTTCTGTATCAACAACGACGGTTCTTTCACATGTGACTGTAGGCTCACGGGACATGAAGGGCCCATCTGTGAAAATGGTAAGAATGATCATCAATAATTCAGTTTTATTTACCCAGGGTAGGAAAAATTTTTATCCTGCTCTTCTCTCGGACCTCAAAGTTTTCATTACCAAAGCATTGCACCAATTCACTCGATCAATGAGAAGGGGGATCTGGGTCAAATATCTTCAGTCTCCAAAAATCAAAGTACCGAGCTTGTTCAAACTCGTGACCTCTCTTGTAACAGTCAAGAGTCTCCACCAGTATATCATAGTACTGCTACTAGGGGTGTATAGGAAGAGATTACCCGATTCTTCACATTTCATATGCAGACAAGACATTCGAATCGTTTTTTTAATCATAATTATTTCAGTTGTCGTTATAGATATGTGTCATAAGGTTTACATGGTTTTAAACATTCTGCCAATGACGATAAACGCACCCAAGTACTCAAGATTACCGATTTTTATATTTTATTTTCCGGTGTAACCTTAATGTGATAAGCAGACTCAATACATCATTGGTTGAGATAATTTCAACATGTAGTTTAAGCTTCTACCAACCTCAAAACCGCACTCCAAGAAATAACTTGTTATTTGTATTTATTATATTCTTGCCCATTAATTTACAAAGTGTTTGAGAGAGGCATACAGCAGGAACAATGTACAGTTTCTCAGCACGACGTGGGCATCGCCAGTTTCTGATAACGTGACGTAATATGTGAAGTCGTTTATCAAGTAAATGTGTTCAAATTTATGGATCCTTCCTTTTTCAGGTGTGTGTGGTGATGAAGCATTTCATTCACCTGCTATTATATAACATCTGCTAGAACGCAAATTGCATAAATAAGTGGTGCTATTCTGGGTTAAAGGTTTCTTATAAGTGAAATTGCTTTGTCTACTGCTACATTTTAGGATTTCTAAATGAATTAGTTACAATTCTTCCCCTGCTATATGTTTTTCTCCAAATATAATTTCCATCTTCTCAGCCATAATTCTTCCTCATTGAAAAGTAAAGGTTTTGTTATTGATTTTAATTTTTTTTCCATGATACATGTCCATCTTCATCTGGTACGTCACATTTTCAATAAAATGGCTGTACCCATGTTATGCTAAAAGGTATCACATCATGCCAAGAACATCTTTATTTATATATCTCTTGTACATTGTCGTAAGGAATATTGTATATCAAAGAGCAGGAATACATCTAATTTTTTAGAATACCTTAATTATTCCTTGGGGTGAGGTTTCTATTAACATTTAGTAGGGCGTCAGTATAAGCTTGTTTATGGTGCCCTCTACCCGTTTTGTGCCATAACGCCAATTTAAACCAATGAGATAACCAAATGAACAAACAATGAACGAAATAACATATTGCATGTTGAGCATCATACCAAAAGACGTTAAAAGATGGGAGTTGTTGCTACCTTGTTTGGCGTTCAACAATAAGGGATAGAGCAACGTCGATCTGGCGCTGCTCAGTGGCTGCCGGGCTCACGATCAATTGGGCAAAAAGAATTTCCGTTTCGGTTTAATAAAATTTGGAGTGGACTATTAGGCTATTATTATTATTTGGCATGAAAGACAATTCTGTCACAATGTCTGCCTTTTTTTTTTTGGCTTTTTAAAAAAGAAAGGGATTTTTGTTTACCCGGTTCGACTTAGATCAGATACCTATTCTTTTGTTTATACCATAAATATCATCTTCTTTTGCAATTTTTTAATTTAAATATATAATTTTGCTGTTTTATAATTTTCTCAAATGTAATTATAAAACCAAAAGTTGTAAATTGGATATTGTATACCGGGACCCTGTTTACAAGCAACTCGCTCACTTGCTTACTAAGGGAATCCCTTTATTTTTATGTTCATATTATTATGTTAATACAATGTGTTAATATTATGTTATACTTGTACTTTTTTAAAGATGGACGAATACATTGAGTTTAATTGAATTCAATTGAATACAAATTCTTTTCACAATATTTTTGCAGATATTTATGAGTGTGGAGGAATGAGGTCTCAGTTCAATTACCTAAATTGAACCTTCAACAACTTTTCTTTTAATAGCCTATTCTCTTTCTGAAATTCGTCACTGTCTAATTTTCATAGGAATCGTTATCCATTTTGTTTGCCCTTTTTTGGCAGATATTGACGAATGCGAAGGAGTGACGTGTGCTAACGATGGCACATGCCAGGACGGGATTAATGAGTTCACTTGCGTCTGTCCACCCGGATGGGGAGGAGATCTATGTGATACAGGTATGTTTACCCACACGATCCTGTGTCCGGACAGGTTGGTTAAATATCTCGATATATCAATCCAGAAAGTAAATATAATTCTTCTGGATACAAGCCTCATGAAATCTGTATGCTGACTAACCTGTACATGAAAACAATATTCACATCAATTAGTGCCATCTTCTTTGCAAAATCTGACAGCTTTAGTTTAGTTCGGATTCATCCCCCTCCTATCACCGCCTATGTCCGGATAGGTTGGTTATCCGGACGGTAATTGACGTCAGGCAGTTATTCTGAGAAGTTTACATGCAATATTTCATATGAAGGAAAATTACTCATGATGGCTCGAGCTATCTGATCCGTATATAACGATAGATTTAAAAGGAGGAAGTGACAGCATTAGTTTGTTTTGCGTCCGGACAACCCCCTACCCCACCATTACACTAAACGCGCCAATGCATTCTACATGTGAATTCACTGTCAAGTCCAGCCGTTCATGTAAACATGAATACATATGTTGAATCTGTACATTACTGGACGTGCTAACATGATATCTTATACTTTAGAAGCATAGTAACGATTTCGTAAGAGCTCAAACTACAAATGAGATTGCGTGTTTTAAGATAAACTTGAGTTCTGGTCATGTAAGAAGATTATAAGAGAAACTGTCTTGAAATCATTTGGAAAATGTTGATTATGTAGTTCATATGGATTGGTGTTGGAAGTGGATTTGGGTTCATCAAATTGATAAGAAGATTGACTCCATTTCAATAAAATCACATTGGCTACACTTGGAAATCGGTGTATGTGACTACATACACATTTAGAATGACTGTTTGGTCCAAGCTCATCAGCTGTGTATTGTCATAGAGTATTGAAGAGCATTTCAAATAGCACATTCGAAGAGCGATCTTTTTAGGGCACATTTCTATTGTGATTTATTTCAAAACTGACATGAGGAATCCCACAAATAATTTTTCATCTTTCCCAGAACTCAATCTTTAATTTATCTGACAAATTATTCAGATACAAACATACATTCACATATTACAAAGGCAAACAAAAGAAGTTGCTGAGAAATGAATGAATATGATATACGACTACAATTAACTGCAATTTACTGTTTTACATCTTATTTCAGGTCACATGAACATGAAGCAAAATTAAGCAATGTCAATTTTTTCGTATTTTCGTGCTAACATAACATTTAAAAAAAAATCATTATTTTTATGCCAAATTGCAAAAATGTTACCTTTACACTGTATATCATACCGAATTGAAATAAATTCTAGTTATCCAATGTTTAAAAAAAAAATTCGATTCGATAATCCCTAAATCTTATTTATGTACACCTAATCTAATTTCACAATACTTTGAAACTGTTTATTGCGAAATGTAATTTGATGACCAGAACTCCAATAACAGTTTGACTGGAATTGAGATAAGAAGAAGATAAACCAAGTAGAAAATGATGTTAGGATCATGGAAATTTGGCCTATACTATACAGTTAGAAGATTTAGGTCGAACAAAGATAATTGTTACTGCAGTAATTGCCAATATTGCCTCTGTATAAGCAGCTTTGAGTATTTGTCACACCTAATATATGTTATTTCCAATGCCACACAGCAACTGATAATCAATTAAATAAAGCGCAGACATTTGAATATAGGTATTTAGTTCCATATTAATACATATATTAAAAACTGTTATTGCCTCTGTCAGCAGCTTTAAACATTTGTCACACCTGATATATGTCATTTTCAATGCCAAACAACAACTGATAACCATGTAAAAATAAGCGCAGAAATCTAGAAAAAAAAGGTGTATATAACATTTAATTATTTCTTCTCAGGAACAACACCGGGAACAACCCCTGGCACAACACCTGGAACAACTCCGGGAACCACACCAGTAACTACACCAGGCACAACACCAGGTTAGTTCAAGTTTTGTTTGGGGTTTACAGCTAGCACATTATGGTACTATTACTACCAAGGATAAGGTTCCCTGTATGTCATGTGGTTATAAACCGTTATTACCTCTGTCAGCAAATTTGAACATTTGTCACACTTGTCATTTCTAATGCCAAACAGCAACTGATAACCATGTCAAATTAAGCGCAAATATCTTGAATAAAGGTGTATAGTTCTTTAGTAATGCATGTAACATATTTGTTTCCCTTAGGAACAACACTTGGAACAACCCCCGGAACAACACCTGGAACAACGCCTGGAACAACACCCGGAACAACCCCTGGAACAACTTCGGGAACCACACCAGGTACTACACCAGGCACAACACCAGGTTAGGTCAAGTGTTGTTTGGGGTTTAAAGCTAGACACATTATAGTACTTTTAAGGATAAGGGTTCTCTGTATGTCATGTGGTTATAATTCGTTATTGCCTCTGTCAGCATCTTGGAACATTTGTCACACGTGATATATATCATTTCCAATGCCAAATAGCAACCGATAACCATGTCAAATTAAGCGCATAAATCTTGAATAAAGGTGTATAGTTCTTTAGTCATACGTGTAACATTTATTTGTTTCTCTTAGGAACAACACTTGGAACAACCCCCGGAACGACGCCTGGAACAACGCCAGGAACAACACCCGGAACAACCCCTGGAACAACTGCTGTAACAACGCCAGCTACATCATCTGGAACAACACCAGGAACAACTCCGGGAACCACACCAGGTACTACACCAGGCACAACACCAGGTAAGGTCAATTTTGTTTGGGCTTTAAAGCTAGACACACTATGGTACTTCCAAGGATTTGTGTTTTCTGAATTTCATGTGATTATAAACCGTTATTGCCTCCGCCAGTAGCGTTAAACATATGTCACACCCGATAATGTCATTTCCAATGCCAAACAGCAACTGATAACTTTGTCAAGTTAAGCTCAGAAATCTTGAATAAAGGTGTATAGTTCTTTAGTAATACGTGTAACATTTATTTGTTTCCCTTAGGAACATCACTTGGAACAACCTCCGGAACAACACCTAGAACAACGCCTGTAACAACACCCGGAACAACCCCTGGAACAACACCGGAACCACACCAGGTACTACACCAAGCACAACAACAGGTACTGCACCAGGCACAACAACAGGTTAGTTCAAGTTTTGTTTGGGGTTTAAAGCTAGACACATTATGGTACTATTACTTAAAAGGATAAAGGTTCCATGTATGTCATGTGGTTATAAACCGTTATTGCCTCTGTGAGGAGCTTTGAACATTTGTCACACTTGATATATGTCATTTCCAATGCCAAACAGCAACTGATAACCGTAACAAATTAAGCTCAGATATCTTGAATAAAGGTGTATAGTTCTTTAGTTAAACGTGTAACATTTATTTTTTTTTCCTTAGGAACAACACTTGGAACAACCCCCGGAACAACACCTGGAACAACGCCTGGAACAACACCCGGAACAACCCCTGGAACAACTTCGGGAACCACTCCAGGTACTAGACCAGGCGCAACACCAGGTTAGGTCAATTTTGTTTGGGCTTTAAAGCTAGACATACTATGGTACTTCCAAGGATTTGTGTTCTCTGAATTCTATGTGATTATAAACCGTTATTGCCTCCGCCAGCAGCGTTAAACATTTGTCACACCAGACATATGTCATTTCCAATGCCAAACAGCAAATGATAACCATGTCAAATTAAGCGCAGAAATCTTGAATATAGGTGTATAACATTTCATTATTTCCCCTTAGGAACAACACTGGGAACAACCCCTGGCACAACACCTGGAACAACTCCGGGAACCACACCAGGTATTACACCAGGCACAATACCAGGTTAGGTCAAGTTTTGTTTGGGGTTTAAAGCTAGACACATTATGGTACTACCAAGGATAAAGGTTCCGTGTATGCCATGTGGTGATAAACCGTTATTGCCTCTGTCAGCAACTTTGACTTGTATCAACCAAAATGGAACCTATGTATGCACCTGTGCAGCAGGATACCAAGGAAACAATTGCGAAAATGGTATTTATATGATGCCGTATTTGTCAACATATTGTTTTCTTTGTCTTCTATAGCGATGACACATGAAAGTAATTTCTCAATAAAATAAATCCTTTAAAAGGGAACATTTGTGAAAATGGTACGTATGTTATTCTATGATGCCATATTTGTCACCATATTTTTTTGTCTTTGTCTTCTAAAGCGATAACCCTGAAAGTAATTTCGCAATGAAATAAATCTTTTTCACTGTTGATTCTTCTTTTCATAGATGTAAACGAATGCCCCTCAGATAACCCTTGCATGAATGGAGCGAATTGTATCAACCATAATGGAACCTATGAATGCAATTGTGCAGCAGGATATCAGGGCATCAATTGTGGAAATGGTATGTATTACATGGTGATATTTGTGTACTCTGAACTATGTCGTCCTTGATCATTTTTTAAGATAAAATATAAAAGGAAATTTCTTGATTAAAATAATAACTCATATCACGGTAGGCGCTTTTTTTATGGATGTAGGCACCTTAGATTACTCTTCATCGTTGTTATCTGTTTATTTATTACAACCATTCAACAAGTTGGATTTCAAATACAAATAAAAATGCGAATGGGTGTGAATTAGTCATCAAGCGGACAAACCTTTTACAAAGTTAAAGCCATTTAAGCTACAAAGTAATGACATCGCTACTATCGGCTAACAAGTGAAGTCTTTATCACAATTCAGATTTATTCTCAATTACCCACATTGATTTTTAGGCTAATTTTTACTGAAAATGTTCGAAAATATAAAAACAGAAGAGGTTATTCGCACAAATGATGTTAACATCTGATTGACATGAAAATATGTGTTACCGATAACAAGTAAGAATGAACAAAGTTAAGAAAACTCGAGGTTCCTTACGCGGCGAGTGATTTGAAATTTAGGATACCATAATTCATATCCAATTTAAAGAAGGGGCCTGTTTCTATTTACGTTAAGAAATATTTAATGGAAATTGTATCTATCAAGGTTTAAACGTTAATATTTTAAAACAAAAATTTAAAAGGAATTGTTTCAAGGCTATGCTTGAAATTAGAAGAAAAAATACGTAGTGAAAAATGTATAAATTATGATAGAATGTCATTCTCATTTGTCTGAAATCAGTAACATGCAGACTGTCCCATCTTCAGTGTCGTTTCTACGGAAGGCAAATGTGCTGACAAATTATGTTAACCTCATTTAATCGTTAAGGCATTAAAACATATGTGCATGTATATTTCTTTTTACCGTAACATCGATAAGAATTGTTCATTATAATGAGAGCTTAGGGATTTAGAATAAGATTGTCCATAAATTTACCATAGGAACTGCGATAGTTCACTTGTGATGGCGTTATAAAAAGATATGACAGATTTAATGTTGCGACCAGAGACTTGTCACAGAAGTTGTCGCTGGTCTTGGCAAAGAGAACTTTGTGAAACACCTAGCGGACAAGTAACAGCATTGAGATGTTGTTGATCTTGCACTCTTGATGGTTTCGTAAATGCACTACCTGAAATGAGGAGGGGGTGACAAGAAGAAGAGGGAGAAGGAGAAGGAGGAGATCGGACAAAACGAAGATGAAGAAGAAGAAGAAAAACAAAAACAAGAAGATCGAAGCATGCTGCTGTTGACCCCCCCCCCCCTGTAAATTGTTTTCATTGTATCAGGGGTTGGGGAGGGGGCTTTTGTTGCAATGTGCCAATTTAGTACATGATTCGCAAATGATTGTCATAGGGATTTATCCTTGTTGAATGGGGTAGGTGGGGAGTGAGCAAATGGCTCACCTGCTTTCTAATTGCAAAGAGAAAAAAGGGGAAAAGGGGAAGGGGGAAAGACGAGAAAAAACGAGAGGACCCTTTCCCTCACCTTCGAAATTCATTTGATCATGACATGATGAGTATTTAAACTTAGTAACTGGTCTTTTATTAAAATGTTTTGGTCTTGTGCAATATACTTCTAATTTTTCGTTTGGTTTTCTTTCTAGCTTTAGATGCCCAAACCATCGCTGTTATAGTAAAGATGCATGGAAAATACGGTCCTGAGTTCATTCAAGAAGGCACCCCAGAAAATATGGAAATGAAAACAAACATTACAACAGCTGTAAGTCACATCTTATCCAGAGATGTTCTCAAATCGATAGTTTTAAAATGAAAGCGCGCAAACGGCATAATTAGTATACAATTATATATATCAGTCGCAAGGAATTTTAAGGGGCTTATTTTAACATTGTAGGCTTTAGGAAGCTGCCAAGTATAAGATGTAAGGATTACATTTTTATCAGACTGTCAATTTAGCACACCTCTGTAGAAGTGACAATTTACAGATGTCTGAACAAAGAATACCAGGCCACTATTTAAGAATTAAACTCAAAACCAGGGCGCTGTTCCATAAAGCTTGGTATCACTATCAAATATCAACAACAAGTTACAGTAACTGTTATAAACTACTGAAAGAAGTGCATCCGATTGACTCTGAGCAAATTTTCACTTAACTTTGACACCTGGTACTGGTATTCAATTTTATGAAACAGTGCCTAGGTCATCTGTATCTGGGATACGTTTTCACAAAACCATCATAATACCTGCAATTTGAATATGTAATCATACAATCATGTACAAATATGGTTTGGCGATTGCACCCCCTAAAAAAAACATTCACAATTTCCCTTTGTCTCATATTTTGAATGCTTGCCAAGCCTAAGTTTTACCTGGATGGCCACAATGTGTGTGAATGTAATGCTGATTGATGCTTCAATTCTTTTTTGTTTTGTTTAGATGAATTCCGTTTTAGCAGGAGAAGGGACATCCCACGGATTTGTTGGAGCAAATGTGAATACGTTAAGGTATCATTCTTACTTAAATTGACATTTTCTATTCATTTATCGGTTATGGTATAGAAAACGACATGATTGCATGCATACTTTTGGTTCCAAAACATTCTCCAACCTAAACAGAAATAAATGTCTGGTGTAGGAATTCTTTTATAAAACTGACATTTGTCAACATTCTGTATAGAGATGGTCAAGGGAGCCAGGCGTAGTCTCAGCAGAACAACCATTGATATCAGGGACTCAATTTTTTGGTTTAAGTACATCCATTAAGCTGACTGATATTTTGATGACCCCACAAATTCAGTGTACAGTATACCTAAGCATCTTCCATGTTATGGCAACCGAAGTTGGAATAGTGCGCAATATTTCATATTCCATGTCATTGTGCTCTGTAACTAGTCTGTCTCATGAATGTTATGGATGTAACATTTTCTGGAACCAAACCCAAATGGATGCAATTATTTTTTTAAGCGAAAAATTCTTCTCTTGGCCATATTTTCCTTTCTGAATTGGTATGTGAAGCAACTGGAAATGACCACCGTCATGCAATAAACAAAATATAACTGAATCAATCTTTATCAGAGAATGATAATGGCATGTCTTTTCAACCAAACTCATCCAAATTATGTGGATGAGTCTTTATATTTTAAAAGTTAGAAAGAACAGATACCTGTACCTTGAGATTGGTTTGTAATTACAGGAGATAGATACAATGTGTAGCTCTAGATGACGCAGACACCTATAAATCAAATTATCTAATACACTTATAATATGCTTCGTAAATACAAAAGTGTCATATATCATGAAACTATTGGTGTTCTCTTTATATTCATTTTATGTTGTTGCGTTTTATGCAATGTGTCTATATTATATTACATTAAAAAAAGAGGAAAGTTTATTTTATGGTACGTTAAAGTATAAAGGAGTTAGTGAAATACATGTAGCAAACATCTGTTTCTTTATTCACTTCACAGCGTAGGCAGTCTGATTGCGTTTGTTGATCTTCTGTTTGACCCAACTGTCGTTGTATCACCTGGTTCCATTGTGGCTCTACTTCGCTCTGGTATCGACACGAACGATGTATTCATAGCTATGGCTGTATTCAGTGTTTCGTTAGGTATGTTAATTGATTTTGCCATTGACAATAATTTCATGAAGATATACATAACACAGTCGTAAAGACTCCCAACCAACCAATCGATTCAAGGACAATATCAACACCATATTGGATATTAACATCATGTTCGGATGTCGGATGACATCATATGTCAATTTAATTTTAATTTAATAATATTCCGTGTTTATAAGCGCTCAATACATCGATCCAACGATGTGCCTAAGCGCTTTACAGGTATATTATTACCATGTTGGTACATTTCAATAGATATGCCTGGACATGGCTATTGACATTGCTAAAGGTTGATTTTTCGGACGTCTTTGCGATTTTGTTCTATACCTGTTTTTGAAACACTCATTTTGAAATTGAAATTACATCATAGCTATCTGACTTTAATCTCACTACCAAAACCAAAAATTGCAATTCTCTATGGACCTCTTCAAAATCACAAGATTGCTGAGTTCCTTTCCTGCAGGCCCGTACAAACTATAGGGGTTCGGGGGGTTCACGCGAACCCCCGCCCCCTTTAAAAAAAGGATTTGTTCTTCTTCTTCATTTTTTGCTTAAGTGTGTGTGTGTGTGTGGGGGGGGGGGGGGTGTTGATTTTTTGCCGTTGAGCAATTATTTTTTTTTTTACTCACAACCTCCGTCCCTCCCCCCCCCCCCCCCACTCTTATTCGCCACTAAATATTCCTCGGGCTTGGTCGCTCCTTCGCAATGTCTCACTCTCACCTCTGGCTCAAAGTTGCAACCCTAAGAACCCCCACTTAAAAAATGCTTGTACGGGCTATTTACTTGTTTATATGGAGTTATGGAGTATACGGGCATTCTATGGGGTTTCTTTGTCGAAGATACAAGGTTAGGGTTAGGGTTCTCAGTTTTTTTAGTAAAGGGTTATAGTCAGCTATAGTTTTGGGTCCTGGGTTAATTAAACCTAGGAATTTTGCTAGTGTAGAAATTGATTGACCGCTGAGCAATTAACTGCGGGGATTGCCGCATAATGTTTAAAGGCCGTTCACTTGTGTGACACATGCATCATAAACCATAGACTAATTACTAGTAGGTTTATTGAATGAACGCGTAGGCATCCGTTGACCTCAAGATGATTCGGGAAATGCTTTACAATGGTTAAAAGGCCACAGTGAGGATTTCTGCAATTCTACAATAATTTTTTTTTGCAGAAGATTAATGCCAGAAACATGTTTTCTCATTATGTGCCTGAATTATGGCTAAGATGATTAGATAAATGTTTTTCTCATATATATATATGCCAGAATTAAACATGGATAATTTGTTTTGCATTTCCCATAATTAAGAAAATGTTGAATGTGGTTACCGGCCGGCAAGTCCAACAACGAGTTCAAGAATCATCGGTGGATCATTGACCCAGCTGGGAGACTGGCCTTGGATGGTTTCTCTTCGAGACAGCAACAATGTTCATCGATGTGCAGCCGTGGTCGTCAACAGAACAGTAGCTGTTACCGCAGCCCATTGCGTGTAAGAATAGTTTGCTTGGTTGACTTTGCTTGTTGAATTTGTTTTGTTTACAGTAATATCCTATTACCTCGAACTTTTTGGTTGTTATTAAACAGAACAGTAGATGTACATTAGATGTTACCTCAGCCCACTGCTGGTAAGAACAGTTGACTCTGCTTTGTTGACAGTGATATAATCCAATGCCTCGAACTGTTTAGAGGCAAGGCAAGATGAGCACCGAAACTATTTTTTGTTAGAAAAAAAGGAGTTATAGCGGAACATGATTGTGTGATACAAAGTTATTGCAGGCAGTTGGTATAACTCCAGTGAACAATAATTGTTACGTTCTGAACAAAAATTGTCTAGTGAGAGTAGGAAGGGCATTCAATTTAATTCTGTGGAAAATGATGCAAGTTAATGTCCTTGTGGATTTCAGCAGACAAGATTTACATTCAACGCATTGTATTAACATTTGTGTTCAGTTCAGGCCTTGCTTCACTCGCTGTCCTCAGGCAGCTTAATTAATGAACAAAGCGAAAAAGCTTATGAATCATAAGGTCTTCTGTTTGATCCATCTATAATTACATGCATAATTTGTAGAGGTTGTCGGGGTCTAGTGAATATGGGACTATGAACCACGTGTTATAGGGTTCAAATCCCTGCCACAATATTAATATCTTTTGGTAAGACCTACGTAAAGGTTAAAATGATTGTGACAACTAGCGCGTATATACCTCCGTGATTTGCCAGCAAAGAAAAACTAAGGTTTTCGTCTGCATTGTACGCCATGGTATGTTTTTATGTTTATGCGTACGAAGGATAATTAACAATGGTAAGAATATATTACATATATTTAGAGCGGAATTGAATATATTTGTTTCTTTCAAACTTTTTCAGGGATATCTTTGAAACTGCTGTGCTTGGTGACCTGAAACTGTCAAGGCCTTCACCGTATCATTTGGAAATTGGAGTGCAGTCCATTTCCCATCCAAACTACGACAGCCAGCTAATAGATAACGATATTGCACTGATTGTGTTTGATAAACCCCTCGAATTTAATAACGATTACACAAGACCGATATGCTTGTCTCCACAAGAAGATCCTTCTACCTACACAAGGTGTTATGTCTCTGGTTGGGGATTAACTGAAGAAGGTGAGGTATATTCATTTTTGTAATATTTTTTGTAATATTTATGTTGCTCATAATCTCGAGTGATCTTTTTCACTCATTGTGATATCTTCGATATCTTGAAGATTACATGCATTGATTGTACAACGGAATCTTGGCAGTTAAATTAAGCAACAACAACAAAACTAAAAACATATGCTAGATCTCTGTTAACGCTATACAAAATGAGTACAGAATGTTAACATCATTATTTACCACCATCATTGTCGTCAACTGACATTGTGCCCGAGCAGCTGGTGCTTTTGAATAGTTGCTGAAGGTCGCTCAATGAGCAAATAGCACATATCTACTTAAGATCTACTTTAAAAATGGAAGAGATTTGGAGGTCACAATTCTCTTCGACACTTTAAGATTATAATTTTACAGTATTCTAGAATATAAACACGTGCACAAGTGACAATTCAACCATTAGAATGACCTTTATCTAGGATATAATTTGTTACACTATATATGAATACCTAAATCCTCAAACACCCAAAGTAGGCCTATTTATATAGCGATCGAAACTGTGACAAATCACCTGGCCACACTAATGATTATACCGCTATGTAGAACTGAGCAAACAACGTATTGTTCAGTGTATCGTCAGCTTGACTAAAATCCCCCACCCCGAAAAAAGAGACAGACAATATCTTTTGCACATCCAAAGCAAAGGAGACATTGATTTAAACAGTTATATTTTTGTCTATGATCGACTCGTAGGAGGGCACGTGTCAGACACCATGCAAGAGGCCACAGTACGAATCTTCAGCCAGGAGGAGTGTGCACGCTTTTACCATGATCGAGAAATCACATCCGGCATGATCTGCGCAGGTCACCAATCAGGAGATATGGATACTTGTCAGGTAGAGATAAACGACAAATTGAATTGCATGGGCCTCGTGATCTCGGGGATCTCCCCCACTTTTACCAGCTCTATAGCACTCCTGAATCTTATGTTATTTACTTTATTTTATTAATGTATAAAAGATTACCAGCAGCACAGGATGAAACAGTTGACAAAGAATCAATTAATCAATAAATCAAATCAAATCAAATATACAATATATTAATGCTTGTTGACGATAATATTATCAGTATACAAAAAATATACAAAAGCAGCTAGTAGGATATTAAAAGTTACAACCCTATACGAAAAAAATACAAAGAACGATTTGTTACACAGTATCATACGTGATTTCAAAAAGGGTAATTATAGGACACCTACCCCCTGGACAACCACCCCTAGGATAACTACCCTCTAGGACAACTATCCCCGGACAACTTCCCCCAGACAAGTACCCCCTACGACAACCATCCTCTAGGACAACTACCCCCGGACAACTAATCTAGGGGGTAGTTGTCGGGGGGGGGGGGTAGTTGTCCGGGGTAGTTGTCCGAGGGGGTAGTTGTCCGGGGGTAGTTGTCCGGGCGCCCGGTCCCCCCCCCCCACTCAGTGTTATTTAGGGAACGCATATGCTCGTACCCTCTTTTTGAAAGCACCCCCTATCTGAGGACTGCCAACATTTCCGAACCCCCCTTTCGCGGGCTTTTCGCGGGCTTTTCCTGCCTTGGAGACCCTCTAAATCAGGAAATTTTTTCAATATACCCCCCTAAATTCGGAATAATTTCTCAGGAGTCCAAAGAGATGAGAGAAAAAAGAAAAACACCCCCTTTTTAAAGAAATCTCCGGGTGAAAAGTCAAATACACCCCTTTTTTTACAATTCTCGGGCCGGACTTTGTCGCACGAAAAGTACCCCTTTACCGGACATTTTGGCAACACGCATGCGGTCATTCCGACCTCTGAGTGGGGGGGGGGGGGGGGGGGCGGGTTCGGCCTAGAGGCCGGTGCATGGTTGCCCTATTTGTCCCTGAGGTGTGGTTGTCCAAGGGGCTGGTATAGTAGAGGGTGGTTATATCCTAGGGGTGGTTATCCGGGGGTGGATGTCCAGGGGGTACAGGTACAAAAATATCAACGAAATATTATGAATAGCCTATATCATCTGAATAATAATTAAGCCTCAAACAGCACGATCGACCATTATGGTCATGAATTATATCTGTCTGAATGATATATGTGCTGATCCGTTGACATATATTGTTGTAGTTTCTTATATACAGTGCATCATGTTAGAGATTGTGTCAATTGGCATATACAGATGTATCTGCATTGCTTTTACAACTTTTGACCTTTCTATTCTATCTTTCTATTGTACTAATAGATCTATGATATTTGATAATATTTTTTATTTACCCGGTATATCCTCATCAGCATAAATAGTGTTCTTCATATGAGTTTTGGCAAATTATTCCCCAACATTACCATCATGTGCCTATTTTATGCACCTGGGACCCGTTTCATAAAATTTTGACTGACGGAAATAACAGATTTGACATCTATAACAATGACGAGTGAAATTCGTTTCATCTAAAACTAAATAACGACGAATTCGCGCATGCGCATAAGCTCTATTTTGCTTCGACGTCGTCTGTCATCAGATCATCTGCCAATGCTCGAACCCAACTTTAGCGCTTGAAATGGTTATTCGTAGAAATCCCGTAAGTACAAGTCATATTTATTCCCTAATACGAAGAATTAAATTCATAACTCGACATCTATGGGATTTTATATATTTGAATACTTATTCAGCGGTTGAAGAAAGATTGATTATAATATGAAGTGTGCGGATGATTGACCAACTTCAAATCATGCGCTTGCAGTACTCACGAGCCGAGAAGTGGAAACTGCGTGCAGCGCCCGGGCTTGTGCGGCGCATTTTTATATCGCAGTCCCTACTGTCATCTGATGCTGTATGCGGAGTTGGCTGTCGCGGGCAGGAGCGGATCCGGGGGGGGGGGGGGGGGGGGGCGAGCGGACCTTGGCCCCCTCCCCCCCCCCCCCCCCCCCTCCCCGCAAAAAAAAAAGAGAGAAGAAAGGAAAAGAAGAGAAAGGGAAAGAGGAGAGAAGGGAAAGAAAGAAGAGGAAGAAGAAAAGAAAAGCAGGAAAAGGAGATCGGGGGGGGGGGGGGGAGGTGAAAGGGCCTTGCCTCCTAGGCTGTTGCCCCCCTCCCCCCCCCCAATTAAAAAAATAAGAGAGAAGGAAGGAAAGGGAAAGAAAAAAGGAAAAGAGGAGATACTGGCGTACTGAAAGGGGGGGGGGGGGGCTTGGGGGAAATAAATTCAAACGTGGTTTATTTCTAATTCCATAACACCCCCAGTCGTAAAAAAATAGGAAAAAAATAGGGGGAAAGTAGGTAGAAAATAGTCCCGAAAATATATTTTTTTTAAATTTTTTAGTCTGAAAAAGATGAAGGTGAAAAAATAGGGAAAAAATAGTTTGGTACTCGAAAATAGGAAAAAATAGTCCACAAAAGTTGAAGGTGATAAAAATAGGGAAAAAATAGTTTGTGCTTGAAAATAGGAAAAAAATAGGCCAAAAAAAAAATATAGGTGAAAAAAATAGGGGAAAAAAAGTTTGTACTAGAAAATAGGAAAAAATAATCTGAATTTCCAGAAAATAGGGAAAAAATAGGAAAAAAATAGACAAAAATATATTTTCACAACCAGGGCGCGACAAACCCGCTTGCCCGACGTCCCGGGGCAACCAAATTGAGCCGTCGGGCAAGTAAATCAAATTATCACTTGCCCGATTCGGGCAAGTGATACTTTTACAGTAATTTCGTAGTGTCCAAGAACTCTACCATTCACCCGTCAACTTCTTACCCGTCGTCAAAATCCAGAAGCAAAAAAGCGATCGTTCCGATTTCGAAAAAACTTCACAGACAGCTAGCCAGCTCAGCTAGCTCAGCGCGCATGCAACAGTGACACTTCAAGCCATGAATGCCGCTCCGCCTCCACGCACGGCCGGCCGTGAGCTAGCTAGAGACAGCTAGCGCGATCGTACCAGCTGCGAGCTTATTCGCGCTCTCTCTCTCTAGCTCTGCAGGCCGCACCGACAGGCCTTTGCTATTCTCTGATTGCCGATTGGTTGAATCACGCCAAATATGACGTCATTATTCTAGGGAAATGAACACGTGCGAATCGGAATGGAATAAACAACAGGGATTTTCTAGTAAGTACAAAAAGTCAAATGTTTGATATTTATTCATAATGACTGTTAATGATTGTGAACATATTATTTAAAACTCGCTGCTCATATAAATCAGATGAATGTTTTTGTCTCGTTTTCAATTTATTACTGCGGTCTCAAGATCCGACCGAGCGAGTCATTTTGATAATAGTATCGAGACCCCCAGAATATAAGCCGTTGTTGTTTTGTTTTCATGGTTTTAGCGACGTTGTTTAGTCTAGTTTTCGCATACTTATCCGAGATTTATCGTAAAATATCTTCAATATTATTATTTAGTAAGAATTTACAAATTTTGGCATGATATTTATAGCAGTGAATGATGAAATAAAAATGTCTGTACTTTATTTAAAATAGTTGATTACCCATTATTTACATGACGTTTCTTGATGGAAGAGTTGACCCAAATTATTAACAGCTGAAAATTAGCCTACGTTTCCAAATGACAGCGGCTTGCACAGACACACATGTGATGTTGCACCATGGTACATGTGGCTACCATTAATGACATGTTTGTATCATATTTTTTACAACAGGGTCATTATGCTTTTTTACATGACTGAATATTAAAAACTTAAACCTGCTTGAACCATTCTACCTTGCCGAGATTCATGTGAATCTGATTATTTATGGAGAATCAATAAAATGCATTTTTTAAACCTTCAACCATCCTTTGTTGACCATTTTCTTTGACATATTAGGTTATTATTCAGTACAGTTACACTGTACATGTATGTGCATTAATTTGCTATCTAAAACACTAACTTATCATTACGAGATAATAAATGCTTTAACCTCGAGTCCTTTTTCGCTTTAAAGTTTTGGGCAAGTGGAAATATTGTTTGGGCAAGTAAATTGAAAACCCACTTGCCCGACAGGGCAAGTGGTGAAAAAAATTCTTGTAGCACCCTGACAACACACAAAACTACCAGGGACATATGAACAAATTTGACCCACATTTGGCCAAAAGATCAATGAGTCATTTTGTGTACCTCCCACACAGACGACGAACATTCGAGTGCACTAGAGCGTAACACCAAGGTACCGGACTCGTCGATTTTTATGAAATAGGGGTTTATCGTATAAAACTGGTGAGAGTGTGAATGTCAACACCGCTGTGCGTGCGTGACTTGTCAACACTCTCCCTCTCCTTCTTTCTGTTTCTCTCTCCCCTCTTCTCCCAAAAAAGGAAAACAAATCAGGAAAATATATATGTATGTCTACTAGTAGATACAGATGCACATCACAATGCATAAGTCCATTGTCATCCCTCCGTCTAAGATGGGCAGGATCACCCTGCAATATGAATACGCGATTCCTTCTCTAGCAGATCAACCATGAATATTTATATCTGCTCATGCAGTGAGTTCTGAGTGCCATTAATTTGCTAAATTTCAGGAAAATTAAAGAGTCCAATGTCTCGTGAGAGATATAATCTAATCCCTACACACCTGTTTTGTAAAAGATCGTCCATAATATCTAAATTCCCTTCATTAAATTGCTGAAATCAACGTAAAATGTGTCTTTTCCATCGCCGGAGCCGAGTCAAATCTGGTGGTAGAAATAGGCACGGCTGCGAGCACGGTGTGTAAGCCTCATTGTCCGCTGTGTAAAAACTTCGCTTACGCACTAGCTTGCATATATTATAGAGGTCGATGTGTAAGTTTGTAAAAGCTATTTTTTATTGGATTGAAATTGGCCCTACTTTCTCGACAACCAATCAAATTATGTGTTACATCAGACGGTAGGGGATTACATATCCTCTGTTTTGGCGCCCAAGATGGCCCAATAACAAGTCGCAGTTACGAGCATTATCTCGTTGAAGTACACAACCCCAGTGAATAAGCCAAATTTTCCTGTGACCTCCATAGAGAAATCACAAATTGAATGATTGTTGTCCATTATTGAAGACGAAAAGGCCCTATTTTCCAGTCTACTAATCAGTTCGAAATTGGTATCAGTGGAAAGAACAGTATTTGAATATGTGATTTCCACCCGAGATGGTGTGAATTCAAAGTTTGTTTTCCTTGTAGGAGCATTTCTTTGCATACTTGGCGCGTTTTCAAAGACAATTTCACGTGTTGTAGACCGCGGAGCGAGACCGCGTGAGCAGATGCCCAAAATTTGTTCATATGTGGATTACAAATAGATCCAATGCTGAAATGACATAATTTCCGAAATTTTTCCTCACTTTTTAGTAAATGATACTTTTGTATGCGTTTGTTGGAAAATGACAAATTCTAAACTTACAGCCAGAAATATGATTCTTAAAATTCCTATAAAATCTCAGGGCCCGATGAACGGCGGGGATCGGGAGCCTCGGGATCACCCCCCACCCCTTCACTTTAAAAAAAAAAGTATTAAAGAGAAATAAAAAAGAAAGAGAGCAAGCAAGAAAGAATAGTTAACTGCCAGTGTCAACAAATAATGAGGCATCAAAATATGCTCATCTGACTGACCGTGATTAAATGCCTAAAACCCCTTAGCATCCAGGGGCTCTGCCCCCTGGATTCCACCTAGGGCCCTACGGTGGGCCCTTAGATGCTCATCTGACAGTAATTTAATGCCTAAAACCCCTGATTTTGGGGAGCTCCGCCCCTGGACCCCACGTCAAATAGTGTCTTGCCAGTGTCACAATTAAATTAATAAGGTATCCAAAAAATGCTAATCTGACCTTAATTAAACGCCTAAAACCCCTGAGCTTCCGGGGCTCCACGGCCTCGACCCCATCAGAGGCCCTAAGGTGGGCCCCTGAATGCTTATCTGACCGTAATTTATTGCCTTCCGGGGTCGGACAAGGTATCAAAATGTGTTTATCTGACCGCAGGCGCGAAGCCAGGGGGCGGGTGGGGGCGGTCCCCAAAAAATTCACTGGCAAAAAAATAAATAAAAGGGAAGAGAGAAAAGGGAAAGGACGTAGGAAGAAAAAGGAGCAGACAAAGAACATCTATGAAATTCAGACAAGGATTAAGAGTCAAGAACGGTACGAGTTGTCTTCTTTCTTTAATGATTTAATAAAACGTAAAAGCTTCCACGCGGGAGGGGGGGAACTGAATTCAGACGAGGATTATTTTCGAGAATGGTTCAACGAATCGTCTTCTTTCTCTAATGATTTAAAGAAACATAAAAGGGAGGGGGAACTGAATTCAGACGAGGATTATTTTCGAGAACGGTACAACGAATCGTCTTCTTTCTCCAATGATTTAATGAAACCTAAAAGGGAGGGGGAACCTGAATCCAGACGAGGATTAAGAGTTGAGAACTGTACAACGAATCGTCTTCTTTCTCTAATGATTTAATGGATCGTAAAAGCTTCCGCGCTTTGCGCAGGTGGGGGGGGGGGGGGGGGGACTGAACTTGACAAGGATTAATAGTAGAAAACGGTACAAAGAATCATCTTCTTTCTCTAATGATTTAATAAAACGTAAAAAAAAAGCTTCCGCGCGGGAGGGGGGGGGGAATCGAATTCAGACGAGGATTATTTTTGAGGAACGGTACAACGAATCGTCTTTCTCTAATGATTTAACCCTTACTGTACTGGGCTATTTTGAGCACCCTCTGACGGGGGGGGGGGGGGGGGGGGGGCCTGGGAGGCCCCCCCCCCTATGATCTCTGCCGTTGAATGTCCGATGAACACGAAAATTTGCATATTTGTAGATATTTACGTAAGGAACAAGATTGTATACTTAGTTTTTTCCTAATATATGCAAATTTTTGTCGTTATGGCCTAATTAATTATGTAAAATGCTAATTTTATGCATTTTACAGAAAACTCTACATATTTGTCCGTAGACTTGTGAAGAATCTTGAAAATGTTTTGAATAAATGTTTCCATCATCTCAAATTCATGAGGTTTCATTATTTTTATGAAATTTGAAAATGCATAGGTTAATTTGCATAAATTATGAATACGCAAATTACGCATTCATGAATATCAAATCTGGAACTATATTTAGGGAACTAGAATCATTACAAAAATTGTCAGACTCCACTTTTTGAATGTTGAAACTCATTATTCATATGAAACTTCTTTTCTAACACAAAATAGTTATTTGATGTAATTAATAATGATAATTTATGCAAATTTGATGCGATTTTCAACTATTTATTTTCTTATGTATTTTATTGTTTTTTATTCCTTGTTATATTGTTTTATTTCTAATGTATTCTTTTGTTCTGGAATACATCAAGTTACTCTGATAAACATATAAAAGCAATTTGATATCAATTCATATCTTCACATTTCTGCTTGTACATGAATATATGCAATTATATCACTTTTTCGATGACATGCGCATACTAATTGTTATGTAACACCTTACAGGTATATCCGATTTTGACGAAAATGGTATCAAAATGTGCGCAAGACTTGAGGGAAAAAAGTCATGAAACGACAATTCAAAATTCCAAGCGGTTGCGGCGCGATCTCTGAAAATGTCGAGGGGGTACAGTACAGTACAGTAAGGGTTAAAGAAACGTAAAAGGGAGGGGGGAACTGAATTCAGACGAGGATTATTTTCGAGAATGGTACAACGAATCGTCTTCTTCTCTAATGATTTAATGAAACGCATTACGTTACTGCTGGTCACCATTACGTACCAATTTTTGGCTTGCATAATATCAAATTTAAGAATCGACTTGCGCCAAAGGGATGCCTACAGCATGTATTACATTAGGATTAGCAGAGTGAGAGAGTGAATTGAATGTATCAAATGAAATGCATTGCATATGCTTTTTGCAGAAGCAAATTCGCACACACACGCATAAATGTTTGTTGATATTTGATAATCAATATTTGATATGTGTGGCATAATTAATTTTGTTAGGGATGTTATTTGGATATCTGCAAAGACCGAATTAATACCCAAATCCCAATCGTTTTATTCAAGCATCACATAAGCAACTTTGGTGCAAGTCGATTTTTGCACTGTTGCAAACAATGCCTCCTGTTCATCCAAGCGTGAACACACACCACACAAAAATGCTACCAATTGATTTGGGATAAAATCATTTAGTGTTATTCTGGGGGTTAAAAGCTTTCCAGTGTTGTAATTATCTCAATATTTGGGATTGTCTTAGAATATCAACTTTCATAGATTTTATAACATTCTTTCTAGGCAGTATAATTTTGTAGATTAATAGCATTTTTGTTTTCTTCATACTCCCGATTGAGTCGTGAACATTGAATAAAGATACTAAAGTGTGCACTTTAAAAAACAACCGCAGACCAATAAAAATAAAAAAGCACACACAAATAGACTCAAAATCCACGGGCAGATAACTATTTCTCTGTTAGAGCATAAACAATGCACGATACATACACTGAAGTAGCGTGTGTGTATGAGCAAGTGGAAATAGGGCAGGGGCAAAAGATAACACTAACAGATGACCTTTTTTGTCTGTTTACCCTTACTAGTGGAAGCAGTGGTATATTAGACTCTTAACTCTCATATGAGAGGTACCGGGTTCGATCCTTGCTAAATCTTGGACAATGTGTTTTGCCCACATACTTCCCTCTCAACCCAGATGTATTAAATGGATAACTGGCAATGCTGGGATAATAATAGCAGTGCCCATGCACAGGAAGAGCAGTATTATATATACTGACGGGTAACTGTCCTCTTATTCTCTTCATTTCACAGGGGGATACCGGTGGACCGCTCCAGTGTGAAGACGACGAAGGTCGTATGTATTTGGTGGGCATCACAAGCTTTGGATATGGCTGTGGGAGACCAAACTATCCAGGGGTGTACACCCGGGTCTTTGAGTACCTGGACTTCATTGAAAATGGAGGACCAGAAGAGGAAGAGGAAGGGATAGAAGGTAATTTTAAACTTGTGTAATAAAAAAAAAGAGTTGATGTGTTGTTTATGCCTCGATTTGTGTAGAGATGTTGTGGTCGAGTGGATACGTCGCCGGACTGTCGATCACAAGGTCCGCGGTTCGAGTCCCGCCGCTGCACTAATGTTCTTTGGCAAGACATTGATCTACGTTTGCCACACTCTACCCAGGTGAAGTAAATGGGTACCTGGTAGGAATTTATTTCTTGAAATGCTAGAGCGCCGTATGGCAGCCGTGCTAAAGCCAGGGTAATAATCGGGAGCGCCAGGAGGGTCAAATCTGACTGACATGAGCGCTATACAAGAACCCACTACCGGGGGTATTATTTATTATTTTATAAGAATGGATTGTCAGGAGATTTTTAATTGGGGATTGGTGCGCAACTGGCTATATTAATTGTATGCCTTATTATTTGCCAATTCATCACTTGACAATAGAAACATTGGATGTTCATTCACTCATTAGTACATAGTAGATTTCCCCTTGTAACACATTATGTTTGGGTAGATTTCCTAATGTAATAAACATTCAGTCTATTCTATTTTTTTTCTATTTTAAATTTCAGGTCCTCCACCAGTTCAAATTCCATTAGGGGAATCCCAGGACATTGTGGCCAATGTAATCTATACGCCTGAGAAGATTTGGTATATAACGACACCTGACGGTGATGCACTGGACATATTCATTAGATACCTTGATCTCGAGAGAGTATTTGATCACCTGGTCATGGGCTTTGGCAAGGACTCTAGTGATGTGTCTTCCATCATCGCAGACTCAGACACATTCTTTGCTCATTTCTACCATGTCCGCAGAGAGAGTGTCTGGATCAAGTATAAATCAGAGGCGGTTCAAGTTGTTGAAGGTCATGGTTTCAGCGCAACCATAGAAGCAAAATCTATTCAAGGTTAGATTTTGCCTTGTTTAATAGACATAAGGCTTCCTTTTGAGTGCATCTTTACCTGTGTGAAAAACCAGTGAATTGCATTACTGCATATGACAGTAATTCTTTATCTTCTTCTAGTTTGGTGTATTAGTAATCGTAAATGGGCTATGCAGCCTAACACGATAATGAACTAAAGATTGCAAGTGATGTGATGAAGACAAATGAGGTTTAATGGGATAAGAGCATTAAATGCCTCAGGAGTAGTCTCTGGAAGTTTTCTGCACTGTAAGCTAGCTTGCACTACATGTGTTACATTCATAGCAATGATTACACAGTTCATTGTTCTTTTTACCTTTTTATTCAATATCACTTTTATGTTGGACTCTAACAACTATGCCAGTCACTGACATGGTCCTATATCAAGGAGATGACACATGTGAAACAGGCATTGGCCTATTCCATTAATTTTCCAGAAGGTATTATTGGTCAGTGTAAAGAATGCAGCATCGATGACACGATATATCTTATCGTGCATATTTACTTTAATAATGATAATCCTTTTTTTTTATGAAGGTGTATCGTTCTAAATATAATACATTATGACCACTATTAAATTAATGGGTGTAATTGTAACCATTATCCTCATGAAGTAAGAATTTACAGCTTAAACAGTATCATGGGAATACTAGTATTAATAGTACGTCTTCATTTGGTGTTTATACATGAGCCTACATGTACCTATACCATTGAATTCTTCCTTGTTTCGTAGATGCATCAACATGTACAAACCAAACGTGTGGTGATTCAAATATTTGCAATGATATTGCCTCTGGTTACTCATGTGTCTGCCTGGACCAATCACCTCTCCCTCCTTGCAATGGTAAGATTGTTGTCTTGATATGTTAAATACTCTTTTTAGTTAGAGTTAACAAATATATTTTTTTCCCCATCAAGTATCCATGTTTTATACCTATAGATAATTAATCAAATTACACAAAATGTAAATAATATTTTCATAATTCCTCTAGCTGTGTTCTACGTGTATAGCACTTCATACATCAATGATATCTCTAAAGTGCTGTAGGGATATATAACTATGCCAATTATTGATTCAGGCTTATCCGCGCACAATGTATGCACAAGCTCCACTTTTTAAAAATATTTTTACACATGCTAATGGTGTTAATTAAGCAAACAACACTTAATTTTGCATCCTTACTCACTTAAATCTTTGGTGGAGAGAAGAGGAAAAAGTCCGTTGGTGGGATCGACCCAATGACCTTTGCATCTCCAGTTATGTTTTCCAACCCCCTCTATGAATGCATGTTTTAATCATTGTAAAGAGTATATATATAAATACACTGTTTTAAGAAAGATACACATTTTAGTGCATTCATTTAGTGCATCCTTCATTGAAAATTATATTTTGTGCTTTTTCTATCTTATCACTAACAGTTGATTTAGATTAATTATAGAACGTTTCTTTTGACACAATTTAGAAATTGCTGAACGTCACATCGATGTTTCACCTGGCGTGTATTGCGACTTCAAAGATGACTTTTGTGGATGGGAGCAGGTCAAAGAACCACAGGATGATTGTGATTGGTATCTGTATTATGGTATGTTTTGAACTGAATTTCTACTAAGACTTCTTTCCCTAGGGCCTTCATTTCTTAATAAATGACTGAATAATATTTTAAAGAACAAAAAAACTAATGTCACTGAATGACCCTGTAATGTTCGTTACGTGTAGCATGTGAATTTTCTAGAGAGTTTAAACTGTGAAAGAAGATAGAAGATGAAGAGGCTTTTGCATTTAACGTACCCGTCTCCTTCCTGGCCCCTTTATATTCCCCTAATTATGGGAAACATGATATATATCCTTTTTGCAGGGGGTTCCAGTCATGTAAAAACATTTTGATAAGTCATCCTCATAAGGAGGATTTATGTTTTAGAATCTGTTGAACAGGATGCTCAATTTTTCGTATTAACTACTGCTTTCTTTCAAAATATGTATCTATCAATTTGCATAATTACTTCACTTTCATTGCTTTTCTTTTGCAATGTTTACAGGCAATTCCTACATAAAAGCTTCCACATGTAGAACTGGAGCTGTCAACTCTGCAGGTCTCATCAGCCCACTACTTATCCGGTCGGGAGACGGCAGTGATGAGCCCCTGTGTTTTACGTTTTCTTATTGGATTGACGTTTCAGAGGGGGCACTCAAGGTCAGCTTTATTCCACAGGATACCCGTACGAAACAAGAACTATGGTCGCGTGAGCTTGACACGGGCAGTGAGCAATGGAGGTTTGGGCAGGTGGACCTCACTCCCGAGGGATCCGGATGGCTGGTGCTAGAAGCAATCTTGGGTGAATCCTTTTATACCGGTATAGCGATCAACCAGGTTCGCCTGTCTAGTTGTCGGACGTCAGGTAAAAATTGTTCAAACAATTGTTCACATAATTTTCTACTATGAGACTACTAAAACTCATCTTCCCACATACCGTAAGTCTTTTTATTGTAGGTTCATATTCAATTATACGTGTTTAGCTAGGAGTGTCCTCGTTTTCATGGAAAAGTAGCAAATTTTTAACTCGCGTGAAAATTGTATTTTAGCTTGGGGATAGAACCAAACAAGACAAGACAAGACTGTTAAAAAGGTCACATGTAATGAATTGATGATTGTTGGCTCTGTTGTCATTTTAACTTTCAAAAGTATGCAAAATCTGTATAAAACACAGAAGCAGACTCCCTGTGTGCAGGATATGACGGTCTAAGTTGTATATTTTATGCTTGTGGAGCATTTTACATGATGGATAAAATAATGTGATACATTCTCAAAAATTCTGCGTCTGCAGATAATGATTGATATGGTACCAGAGTGCTTTTTATATCATACCTAATAGAGTACCGAAGCTGTGATGTCATAAAAATTAATTTTTAGAATTTCTCAATTCGAACTTCATTTTCCGAAAGAGCATAAAAAATAATGTACAAATGTCTAAAACCAATTGAATATGTTCAATATTGGCTGAGATATGACCATCTGAATAAAAAAGAGTTCTTATAGGAACTCGTAATGTTATGATCCAGAGCAAAATAACACTGAGTTCCTATAGGAAATCTGTTTATTCAGATGGTCATATCCGGCTTATACTTAATATATTCAATGATTTTAGACATTTGGACATTAATTTTGATGCTCTTTCGGAAAATGCAGTTCAAATTGAGAAATTCTAAAAATAGTTTTTTTGATGACGTTACACTTCACCACTTTATTGAGTGTACTTATTCCACGTGATGATCGTTTAATGTTATTTTGATACTTTTTTTTTTTCCGATTCAGTTCAGTTCAGTTTATTAATTTTTCTCAAGCATAAAAACAATATTATAATATATACAAAAATGGCTTACGTACTTGATATTTTTTATTAATTCTTCTTTTTGATATACAATTATTTTCATATGCATTCTTCAAACTGTGGATGAATTTACTATAAGCATTATCAATATCCTCACACGCTAAAACTTCATCCCACAAAATAACGGATAGATCTTTCGTCATAGAATTAAAAGATCTTGTGTCTTTTGTAAAATAGGAGATTTGTGGGGTTGATTGTTCACAGTATAAGTTAGTTATTTGAAATATGGGCAGATGATCTGTAATATCACTTTAGAAAATCCCAGACTGAATAGGAGAAACGTGTACATTGGTTAGGATATTGTTGATAAGAGTTGCAGATTTTGGGGTAATTCGTGTGGGCTTGTCGACTTTGATACTTAAATAAACCATAATTTAACGAAAGTAATTATGATATATTTACAGAAGATGGAGAGTATGACATCTTCCTTGAGCCCGATAGTATTTTCCACCTGCTCTCTCCGAACTTCCCTGAACCCTATCCAAATTTGTTCGACCAAACCTGGTTGATCACCGCTCCTGAAGAGTCTGGAACTCGAGTCGTTTTTGATCTCCTACATATCGAGCCTGTGTTTGACCTTCTGGTCATCGGAATAGGACATGACCCATCAGTCAGTGAGAATATTGTTCGGATCATCTCAGGGTACGACAGCAGCCTCGACTCAATCCTCCTGGTCAGCAACCTGTCTTGGGTCAGCTTCGAGACTGATTATACATCCAGAGACATGGGTTTTGTTATTGCTCTAAGTACAATCAAAGACTTCTCTGGTAATAATCGAATTGAAGTTCGAAGTTTTTATTTTATTACTAAATCACTGACATGTACATTCATTTATAGTCAATACAATATACATACATGTTATTTGGTAACTGGAGCTAACAAATAGCAACATACCAATCACTAAATCATTAATCAACCCATTGCCTGCGGGAATCAGGTGATTCCTAGTTTTAAAGCGATACTGAACTGATGAAATTTCTGCCCTAGCCTACTGTTTATTGCACAGTGCCATCTCATGGTCAACAGTGCATAACCCTATACCGGTACCTAATTTCTGTTTCGCAGACAGGACTCGATCAGGTAATAACAGCGCAGCGAGTTACAGGACCATACTGATACGGCTGGCATGAGATGGCGGTAGAGGGGATTCTTGCATTAGTGCTTCTAGTACATTTTAGCTTTAAGCTTATGGGAATACAACGATAGGTTAAATGTGGTATACGCAAAATGCATTTTACATCAATTTACCGTACTCAAATGGTGTTCTTTACATGTTAGGAGTTGTCCTTTAGACAGGCATGTACATGATGTACAGAAATATTTGCATATCTGCCAATTCTTACTTGTTTACAATCCAAGAAATCCTTCCTTCATACAGGTATGATTGCAGGAAGGATAGATCTGCTTGTGTTAATAGTGTTTACTAAATTGGAGGTATATTGGAATTAAAGTTCGTGGGTAGGATGTAATTTTCAATGACTTTAATCATCAATCTTGTCTTTTATCTGCAGAATACTTCCTCTGTCATGCCAGCCCTTATGCCCTTCCATTGACAAGTAAATGTAATGGGCTTGTTGAGTGTTTAGATGAGAGTGATGAATTGATGTGTGGTAAGCCATTTTACATGCTTTTAATAATAAACGATTACTGTTCTTGTTTTTCTTGATACATTTTTTTTTTCTCCTCCAAGATATTCTCTATGACCGATGAAACCATTGGGAAGACATATAAGATCACATGAATTTTTTTGGGAAGAAACATGTTTTAATTGCCACCAGGTGCTTCAGATGTTTGCAGAGGAATTTTAATTCCTTCTGCATCAACAGCACCATCAATTTTCAAGTTATTTGGAAAGTTTATCAAAATATTGATGGCTCTGCATTGAATTGAATGTCATCACCGACAGTGAAAGGGCATTCAGCCTTTATATTGTTGTCTATGGGCAGTACAGTAAAAACCACATTACTTCTTATAGAAAATACCATGATATGTTCTAATTTTTCAGTGATAATCTCACATTCCGACCTGGCTTTATTTCGTATAAGATTAGTTTTAGGGTTGAGATTAAGTTTGAAGCTATGTTTAGACTATTAAAATGCACAAGTAAGATTAAAGTTGTTTAATGTCACAATACTATTATGTAGATTGAATGTTACATCATTCATTTGTTGAATGTGGCAAAACTATTATGTTGACCATTGCAACACCCCTGTGTTAAATGCCATACTAATCTTGTGTTGAATTTTGCAGCACTGTTCTGTTTGAAGATGGCAATATTCTTATGTTAAATGTTACAACATTTCTGTTAAAGATGGCAACACTTTTTGGCCCGTATTCTGAAGTCATGTCTAACTCCTCTTTAATTAAACATTTGTCTAAAGTCCTGTCTAAGTCCCGTCTAAGTTAAGTCACAAAGTTGTGACTAAATTTTTCATATTCTGAAGTCATGATTAAGTCAAGTAAAACGTGAAGTCCTGTCTAAGTCCTGTTTAACTTTAGACGACTGCAAGGGGTTGTTAAAGTCCTGGTTAAGAGCGCGATTCTGCTGCTTTTCAACGTATACGGTACACTCTACTTGCTGACCCCGAATTTGCAGGATTTTTTCTTACATAGCCATCTATTTTTTCTCGATAATATTAACTATTCTTATCTAATAGTGACATGTTGGAAATTCCATAATCTATACCAAACTATCCATTCTGTTGGAGAAGTTTCTTTTCTGGATCTTTGTCCCCCGCGGCGAATAATTGACGCACTGATATTTGTGTGTTTATACTGTCCGCCAGTCACGTCACTGTGCAGAATAATTTTTCTTATCCGGCGCGAGCAAGCATGAGCATTCGGTTTCAATTATTTTCAATGTCAAAATCAACGCCTACTAGGCATGCGCAGAAGTCGTGATTAAAGTTAAACACGACTTTGTAGTTAAGCATGACTTTAATAGACAGGACTTCAACAGTTGTTTAGTTAGACGCGACTTAGACACAACTTCAGTATACAAATTTAGTTAGACAGGACTTAGACTCGATCTCGGGTTTAAGTGGTGTCTATTAAACTAAACAGTTGTTTAACTTCAGTCATGACTAAGTTAGACATGACTTCGAAATACGGGCGTTTATGTTTAAAGCCCAAGTCCACTCCAAAAATTACTTACTTTCAATAGAAGCAGGAAAATCAGACTAATCAATCAAAAATAGTCTGGGAAAAATCGGATAACTAATAAGAAAGTTATGAATTTTTAATGACATTAAAAACTTTGAAAATCACTAGACAAATTAGCAACTCACTCGTGAGTCTGTGACGTCATGTCCTCACTATCCACTAATCATTTTCTTTATATTGATGATATAAATTTCCTATTTTCTCCTTAAGAATCTTATTTCTTCACACCAGCATCCAAGTTAGATTAATAGTAATATGTTTTTGTGTGGATGCACTAATATAGAGTAATTTTTTCCAGTTAAATCATGAAAAATGTGAATTTTGATAAACTATTTATATAAAAATCAATAATTATGAATATACAATAATGAGAAAATAGTATAAATTCTTCAAAGTTAATAAAAGATTTTGTGAAATGTCATGCACGCAATATGATACAAATCATATAACCTGGGCAAGGGCATGGGAAAATCAAGTTTTGGGGAATAAAAAGGGAAATGAATTGGATTAAACAATATAGAGCAATTGTTAAATAGTGAGGACATGACGTCTAAAACTGATAAACATCTTGGCAATTTGTGTTGTGATTCTCGTTGTTCCATAGTTTAACAAGGTCCTTTTTTCAAGTTTGCAACATAGAATGCAGCAAAATTATAAAATTATATATTGACTACCAAAACAATTATAAATCATTGCGACATTTATGTACTTTATATTTTTGCATGCATATGCACTAGTGACTTTTAGTTCAACTGGCATTAACTGTATAAGTGCACTGTATTCCAGGAACCCCCCCAGCAAACTCGTCCTGCTTCGAGTGTGCATCTAACTATGAATGTGTGTATGATCCAAGCTGGGTTTGCGATGGTGCCTATGATTGCTTTAACGGACAAGATGAATTGAACTGCACAGGTAAGATTGAAATTGTTTAAAATTACAGTACTATTAGGTAAATTGAATGTTGCATCACTCTTTTGCTCAATGTGGCAACACTATTATGTAAAAGGTTACAGCTCACTTATTTTGAATGTTGCAACTCTCTTGTTTTAATGCTGCATCACACTTATGTTAAAGATGGCAACATTCTTAGGTTGTAAAATTACTAAAATATAGCAGTTGCGCATTAATTTCATTTATGCTAACCCTTCACCCCACAAAAGCAACAGCTTATTTATGCAATTTGCATGCTGACAACTGTTCATGTCCTTAAGATCATCGAATACTTTTGATTTACGGCAAGTCAATTTGTAATGGGGGGGGGGGGGGGGGGGGGGTGAGGGGATTAATCTACTGGAAGAGGAAGCTGGTCAACCAAAATATCTTGGGTTGGTTGGTTCCAACCCCAAATTATATTACTTGTGCATTTAGGTTGAATAAATTTTGGCAATGATAAAGCACTTATCAGTAAATGATATGATCATGAATTTCTATATTTTCATGTTGACCAGGGTGTTGCAATGACTCTTTCACATGTACTAACAAGAATTGTATTCAGTAATAATGATGTGATCATGAATTTCTATATTTTCATGTTGACCAGGGTGTTGCAATGACTCTTTCACATGTACTAACAAGAATTGCATTCTGAATTGTCAAACTTGTGACGGTTTCAATGATTGTGGTGACTTTTCTGATGAGGAGTATTGTCGTAAGCATACACATTTTTCTTCAGTTGACTTGTTCAATCTTGTGAATTTGAAATGGCATCATCCTTTCCAGGTCACAAGGTCCTTTTTTCAAGTTTGCAACATAGAATGCAGCAAAATTATAAAAGTCTGGGTTTTTATATATTGACTACCAAAACAATTGTAAATCATCGCGACATGTATGTACTTTATATTTTTGCATGCATATGCACTAGTGACTTTTAGTTCAACTGGCATTAACTGTATAAGTGCACTTTATTCCAGCAACCCCCCCAGCAAACTCGTCCTGCTTTGAGTGTGCATCTGACTATGAATGTGTGCCTGATCCAAGCTGGGTTTGCGATGGTATTGATGATTGCTTTAACAGAGAGGATGAATTGAACTGCACAGGTAAGATTGAAATTGTTTAAAATCACAGTACTATTATGTAAATTGAATGTTGCATCACTCTTTTGCTCAGTTGACTTGTTCAATCTTGTGACTTTGAAATGGCATCATCCATTTCAGTTCAGCTAGAAATATACAAATAAAAAATGGACTATAGCAAAACCTTTGTATATGACTATCTAAAATTATCAAGACTGAAAGCTTTCATCTGGGCCCTCCTTTAAGAACCTTAATATTAACAATAAGAAAAGTTCAATTTCTACGACAAATTTGCTCTTTGCCAATCAAATGCGTTCTTCTTCTTCTTATCGTGTCACTACACAAGTCCCGTCCAGTGGTAGTTACTAAAAGAAACTTGAGTAGTGTGGTTGAAGGATTCGCAGATTTTCATCTGACGGACCGCGACGTGAACGCTCCTTCAATGGCCCCACTGTTTTTACTGTTCTCCTACACTTAACTATAGTCTGGATACAGTACAGGTGATTGATCTGCAGTAACCTCTAAATAAGCTATATGGTAATGCAGCAGAATTAATGATAGTCTATCGTATATATTTTGAGGAGGTATCAGCAAGGTAGACTAAACTATAAAAAAAAAAATTAAAAAAAAAGATAAAGACGTATGACATAAAAAGAATATAATCAAACCTACCATTGGAGAAACCTAACAATTACAGAGCTTGGTCTTGTTGCTCTGTTCGCCGCAGTTTAAGGATATGAAACCCCGCGGCACACTACTCACAAGAGCTCTAACAAGCCAAGCTTATACAGAGCCTAAAAGTAAAATAAAATAATACCGCGTATGTACCACTCACCCAATCGATTCAAGAACAAATTATGATTAAGTTAATCACGTAAAACAGGAAAATATAAAAACAATAATTGAATAAATACCAAATTGTGAACTATAATAATATTATCAGCACTCAAACACACTTAACGCACATATCAGTACAAAGCGTAATATATATATCTTTACAAATCCAGTAATATAATTATTTTTTATTATTATTATTATTATTCATTTATTTATTTATTTATTATTCATATTATTTCATATTAATAGTAACATAAAATGTTCATATTGTATTCCTCTGCGCGTACTTCAAATGCGTTGATTTCAGTAGCTTATAACAGTTATTGTAATTGATAACAATTTTAATGAAACAGGGCCCAGGTGTAGAGTGAACAAAATGAATGTTTAAATATGAAGAATATATGATTTATGGGTAAAAAGTTAAATATTATGACCTTAATTGCATAAATTACCATAAATACATGTATGCAAACATCAGCTTATTTTCATGCAATTTGCATTCAGAAAATTATAGCACAAATGATAATTGCAAGCGAATGAAATACTTCATCACTGCACACACACGTGGGAAGGAAGCGTCTATAGATTTGAATACATTTGCTTGATAAACGACTTTGCATAGTAGGCCTATGATATCGAGCAAATGGCGATGCCTATGTTGTCCTTAGAAACTGTACATTATGCTAAGAATATCTTGTTTTATATACCTCTCACATACACTTTGATGGGGTATCATGTAGATTGATGGGCAAGAATACAATAAATCTCTCAGAATAACTTAAGTTATTTTTTGGGGTGAGGTTTCCTTTAATCATTTTGACAGACAAAATTCATCATATTATTGTACATGGGTTTTCTTCTTTACACTACTAAATTTTCAGCGGCGCACCTGACTCTAGGAGAAATGTGTTTGATCTCATCACCAAACTATCCTTCATTATTTCATATCTTACACTTTAAACAAATATTTAAAAATAATTTTCTACATACTCTTAATTAATAGTGTTGAGAAAAGTATGTGTGTGCATATAATGTATGTGTGATTGTATATTTCTTTATTCATACTGATTAACAGGCAAAATTGAAATGAAACACATGCCAGTGTTTTATATTTAAGCAAATAATGCAATATTCTTTTGTTTTCCTAGGTACTACAACCAATGACACGATTTCAGGTATTACTATGATAACTACTCCATTTAGTAAACACGTCTTTAAACACTGCACTCAATTATTTCATATATCTTTAGACAAACGTTTTTAAATAATTTTCTACATACTCTTATTTTAGTGTTGAAAAGAGTATGTGTGTGCAAATGTATGTGTGTGCTATTTTTATGTGCAAATACCCCATGTGTCACCTGTATTTTATAACTATTTTATCTGACCTTCTTTGAACCTAAATGTGCATACCTTATATTAAGCTACATTAAGGGTTGTTGTTGATTTTATTTAGACACGGTAAAAACAAACTTTCAGCACCAAAGGCTGTGTTTCAGTATGTCCGTTTGTATGGTAATACCCAAATGAATTTGACGTCAAGATTACCATACACAGGAAAAAATACAATACAATCATATGAGCAAAAATAATGTTGGACATTACGGCAAAGAGCAATTGCAGTAAATAAAAGTAAATGAAATAGATTTTTTTTTAAGAATTTAAATCTATGACTTGAACCAATTTGATGATCTGCATGTTCTTTTTTCATTTAAACAGACAAAATTTGTCATCAAATTATTGTACTTGGTTTATTTCTTACACTACTAAAGTTTCAGCGGTTAACCTGACTGTTGGAGAAACGTGGTCAATTTCATCACCAAACTATCCTCATGAGTATCCAAACAACGCCTATTATACTTGGTACATCACAGCTCCATCAAACTACTCTGTGATCATCACATTCATAGCATTTAATCTGGAGAGTGGCTATGACCATCTGAGCATAGGGAATGGTCATACACCTGGGAACTTGGTGGTAAAAACTTTCTCAGGACAAGATATACCAGCGTCTTTGAGGTTTGTGTAAATGTAGACATTATTTATATTTGTGCATTTTTAATGCACATGTACTTGCATTTTAACTTGAAGAAGCCATATGAACAAAATAGTGTTTCACCTATACATGTGTCTCTAAATTTGCGCATGTGTGTGTTTTCATGTAACTCAAATGTTCTGTTATGGTGGGTGTGACGTCTCATCCCAACAAATTTTGATATAAGTACCGGTACATTAGTTTTTGATGTATGTCAGTTTCTGGATTAATGCAATTTTGTCATTTTGGTCGGTCCATTGTCAGTCAGTCTGTCAGACTTTTGTAGGTCTTTTGTAATTGTGATAAGGATATTTCTCTATTAAAGAAAGTAGGTGATCTTGCTCTCAACAGCAACTCACTTTCTCCTGTGCTACAAACTGAAAACCTCTGAGACTCTGATGTTGTCTGCCATGTCTCAGATATTTAAAACCATTTTTGCCTGTACGACAGATTATGAGTTGGTGCCAGGTGGTTCCTTCACACTGGAAAAGAAAAGAAAGAAATGATGAAATCATACTTTGGGTAGTCTCTCCCAATGACATCTGATGTGGTTTTGGACCTAACACTGCTCTATGAAACGACCAACTATAATAATATGCAAATCAGGATGGTTTACAGGCAATTAGCTACAGTTAGATGAGTTTTGGGGTGTTCTTGCAAATGCAAACAAAAATCGAAAGGATTGCTATGACTATGAAATGTTTGTTTTTTGATGATACTACGTCATTGGTGCTGAAGTGTGAAATAACAGTGTATCCAGAACATAGTGAATAATCAGATAGTATGTATTAATATCAGAAAAAGTATTGACACAATTTTGTCTTGTTCTACAGATTGTACAGTTCTAACAGTTGGATGCGATTCACTAGTGACGGTTCAGTCACGCATCAGGGATTCCAACTGCAGCTAACAGTGATCCCTAGATCTTTAGGTATGTACACACATCTAGTTTTGGTTTTGGTTTAAGCTCATCTGGCCCGATTGGTGCGATGAGCTAAACAGTATGCAATTGCATTTGGCGTCCATCATCCATCCACAATTTCTAAATGCTTTCTCTTCATAATTTCTCATCCGATTTGGATTCTGTTTGCTTTATGGATAGGGCTGGGTAGGGGGAGTGGAAACTTCTACACAGAATTGTGAAATTTGTATTAATTTTGCATATTCATGCAAATTGATTCAAAGTCACAAAAAACATTTTCTCCTTCTTTCATTGACCAACTTTGATTTTTTTTTTCTTTTACAGAGCTGAATGAGATCCGCAGAAATTTTTCATATAATTTTGAAAGTTTGCTTTAAAATTGCCCCCCCCCCCCCTAAAAAAAAAAATGCAAGAAATTACAAGAAAAACCTTCTTCTCCATAATTCATTGACCAGTTTTGATTTTGTCTGTTTTCTCTAATACCCCATTCACAGTGGCCTCAAACACCGCGACAGCAGCGGGACTGTCCCGCTGCTGTCGCGGTGTTGTCTTCAGTGTGAAGGCTCGGACCCATTATAAACTATCGCGGGATAACACCGCCTAGCGATAACGCCGACACAAACTATCGCTAGGCACGCCTAGCTACAGCAGCGGGACAGTCCCGCTGCTGTCGCGGTGTTTACTCAGTGTGAAGGCTCTCCGCTATAACACCGCGACAAACACGTGTGATTTGTTTACTTACCTATCACTGACCTCTGTTCTCCAGCAATGGGGAACATAACGTGAAATAGAAATAAAGTAACCAGTGGATTCAAATTGATTTTATTATTATGTAGATATTATAATTATCCAAATAAAAATATTTCACACTTCAAAAAATAAAACATTCTGATTGGAAGCAATAAAAATGCTAGTTTTTTAAAAAGTAATATGATCGAGGATACAAAAAGCAACTTGACATGTTTACGAAAACCCCGCGCTGAAGTATTTCCGGTCATATCGGGGTCACTCGCGGGTCATGAGCCATGCATACACGTGTTTGTTACGGAGGTAATAAAAATCACCCGCTGCAGCGTGAATGGGTACATGATATTTATCCCGCTGCTGCAGCGGGATAACTTTTCTACTGTGAATGCATTTGTAGCGGTGTTATGGCGGTGTCGCCGCTCCGCTACAACGCCGCTACAAATTTCAAAACCACTGTGAATGGGGTATAATAGAGCTAAGTTA